TGAACCGACAGCAGAGCGCATAGGTAGTCTGCATCAGACCGGACAGTGGGGGCTCAGCCACCGCCTCCTTTCCTGCCCTGCTCTTTCTTGCCTGGGTGGACTAGAACACACCATCCATACCTTCCAGAAACCAGCTTTCTCAATGGCGTAACAAGAATGACGGTTTTCTACCTCTGGAGCCTGTTGCGAGGCCAAAATGCATCTGCCTACAGAGAGTTGAACACATACGCCGGGCCACATCTGTAGTTCGTAACGCAGGATCCCGGTGAACTACGGTCATTATTGTCATTTATCGCAGCCTTTCATCTTCCTTTTCCATCTTTTACTGCCACCTAAGAGGGCAAGGGTCTCTGGTGACGCCACTGACCTGTCTAGCCATGAGCCCGTTCATTCCCAGTGACCTGTGAAGTGGAAGATGTAGTATTCTAAGGGACTCAAGTTGGGTCACCCCGTGTCATTTTCTTAAACCAGGGACCCGTAAGCACTTCCCCAAGTCACGTGAGGACGCCCACTGCTTCCCAGCCTCTGTAAAATAATCAGGGGACAGGGCTGACCCCAAACACACTGAACATGACTCCAGGAGCGGAGAGGGAATAAAAAAAAAAGTCGCACAGGAAATCTCTACTCTTGAGTTCACTGGGCGTGCATAGCTCATAACCCCAGGGGTAAGCCTATAGCTGTGTGGGACGTATCTGTATCTGAGCAGAAAAAAGATTTTTAGCCATGTTGCATGGGAAACCTTGCTCCCCGCCCTGCCAAGAGGGGTAAACCTTAATGGGTGATACAAAGGCTACCCGATCGTCTGCGGGAACACGAGGGGCAGAATTTTTGTTTAGCTCTGTGTGCACACACGCTGGCCCCGTAACGTCCGAATTCCTCTTGCGTTTACTTAAAGTGCTTCCATATTTTTTCTCCTGCGGTGTGTTTTTCAAAATAGAGCAAGCAGCATGGAAAACAAGTCAATAGTGAAAGGTAAACGTCAGGGACCTCCAAGATCTCCCAGCCAGCAGTCGAATGGTCCCTCGCAAAATTAGGCGGGAGAGGATCCCCAACCGAGCCTGGTTGGGCAGCAGCTACAGGGAAAAACACGGTGGTGCAGGCACATGCAAACG